TGGCTAGCTGGCCCACGGAGATTAAATTCTTCGTTAGGTCGGGAATATGTCTGACATTTTTCAATTCCCAAACAGACCCGTTCAACTTGATTTTTACTGCACCTTTGCCGATAACCTCACATGATTGCTCATTACCAAGGTGAACTTTACCAAGATTTCCAGGATCATAATTCTCGAATAGTTCCTTCTGTGAGGTAGCATGAAAGGATGCTCTAGAGTCTAACACCCAAGACTCTTCTCTGTTCTCCAAAGAACATATCAGCGTGTCTCCTCCTGAGACTGAGGCAATATTTGCCTCTTCTTTTGTCTCCTGGCCCTTCGGTGCACTCTTGTACTGATTTCTGTAGTGCCCGGTCTTCCCACAATTCCAGCACTCGATCGACTTCGATTTTTGGGAACTACGATGATTTCTGGACCTGGATCTTCTTCCCTTTGATTTGATATGTCTGCTTTCTTTGGTTGAACTTCTTCCTCTCGACTCTGTATGCAATACAGAAGAGGTTGATGGTTCACCCGACTCCCTCTGCCGGATCTCTTCACTGAGAACCAAATTTTGAACATCATCAAATCTCAACTTATTGCTTCCCGATGAGCTACTCACGGCTGTGACTGTAGCATTCCAACTTTCTGGTAGGGAAGACAAAAGTATTAAAGCCCGTACTTCATCATCGAACTCGATCCCAACTAAACTCAACTGGGTTGTAACAGTGTTGAGCTCATTGAGATGATGTGCCACCGGAGCACCTTCGGTCATCCGTAGGTTGAACAATCACCTCATAAAATGAACTTTATTTAAGGCAGATGGTTTCTCGTACATGTTGGAAAGAGCCTTCATGAGGCCTGCTGTCGTCTTTTCTTTTGCAATGTTAAAAGCAACATTACGGGATAACGTCAGCCGAATGGCTCCAAGGGCTTGTCTGTCAAGGAGACTCCATTCTTCCTCCTTCATGTCCTCTGGCTTCTTTCCCGTGAGTGGTTGATACATATTCTTCTGGTACAGATAATCCTCGATTTGCATCTTCCAGAAGCCAAAGTCCGCACCATCGAACTTTTTAATTTTCATTTTTCCTTCGTCTGCAGCCATCACTTCGACTCTGATCTGACTTCTCTGCCGGATCGTTTCTGTAAATTTTGTGAACTACTGTGTTTAAGAACACGTCGGTAGATAAATTTGTAGCGCCGAAAAATTTGACACTATTCACGTTTTTCACTATTCACGGAATAGTAACCCACACAAAAAAAATTACAGAATTAACAATCTGTCTCTGATACCAGTTGTTGCGAAAAATACGCTGAAATTTCCATGAAGTCGGATCAATAAAAGGAAAAAAAAAATTAGACACACCAAATTGATAACGGAGTTCGGCCAATGATGCCTACGTCTCCGGACTACTGTAGATATTTTATTGGGAAAAAGTAATACACTCGTGTTTAAACACTCTCAAAATCACTCACAACTCACAACACAAATACACACAAAAGCTAAAACTTTCTGCTTCTTGTTCTCTCTCTTTCTCTCTTTTTTTCTCTTGTGTTGGTGTATTTTTTTTCTTCATCAGAACCCCCCTCAATTTATAGAGGGGGAAGTGTAAATTTTTTCCACAAAAGTGTATCCATTTTTCTACAGACGTGAGCTGATTTTTTCCACAAAAAACAGCAGCATGCTTGCTGCAAATTTTTCTCCAAAAAACTGCCCCTTTTTTTTTATTATTATTGTTACTTGTCAGAGGAAGTGGGTTGTACCCATTTCTGACTCAACAGTTAAAACAATATTAATTTATAACATAAGAATTTCTTAGTTCTAACATAATAATAACAAATTATAAGTTATAAGCTAATCAATTTTAATTTATAACATATAAATTTCTACCAACATAATTTCTATAATGAATAAAAATTAACTAATTAAAAAAAAAAGGCCGGTCGATGGCGGTCTGGCCAATTTTGTCGGCCGGTCGGCAAAGATTGTACCTCGTCGTCGGATATATTTGCGCGGGAAATGGCCTGGTTTAAGAGAATTTACGAATTATTGAGTTTTCTGAAAAAAAATGTCAAGAGCAAAACAGTCTAAGTGGAGACAATATGTAGTACTTGGGACGGT